GGAACAGGGATACAGAGACGAACATCGGCCATTCCATGTTTTTCTGGAGGACAAGGTTTACCTTGTTCTAAAAGCTTAAATCTCAAAATGCAAAACTTAGCAGCAGAATATGGTCAATCAGAAGGCCTCCCTGAATCATGTCAGTTAACAGAATTGTGTTTATTCGCATAAAAAGGAGCTGCATATGCCACACTTTTCACCATGGTAATGGCAAACAAGAACGAGCCTCTTTTCTTTCTCAACTCCTAGAGGCCTGAAACATCTTTCACCTTCTTCTTTCAAAATCTTTGCTCCAGCAATAACTACTTACTGTTCTTATTCCTGAGTATTACCAGCTCACCCTGTGTTTGCCATAAACACACACTGTCATGAGTTTCCCAGTTCTCTTCTCTCTCCCACAGTCATGTCTGCAGGCCTCACTGCCCAGATGAAACCACGATGCAATCTGTTTAACAGGCAGTTTTGAGCAGGATAATAAACTTCTGACATAAGACTAACCTTGCCATGAAGCATGGTGACGGCAGAAGTTTATGAAGGCGGTTTTATATGTTAGAATTTATGGGCAACAGCAATGGCGGGGGATCATAGCACAGCAAAGCATGCTGCAAAGGCGAAAAATCTGGACAAATCAGAGTGGGAAAAGGCGTATTGTTTTAAAGAAAAACTATGATATTGTGAAAGGGTTGGATAACAATGGCTCTCAGGCCAAACATGGCCCCCACCTAGTTTTGTAAATAAAGTTTTATTGGAACACAGGCATGCTGATTTGTTCACATGTTCTCTATCTCCGGATGCGCCCTTGCTACAGCAGCAGAGTTCAGCGGGTGAACCAGGGACACTATGGTTCACAAAGCCTAACACACTTACTATCTGACCCTTTACAGGGAGACTATACTGACCCCCTGCACAGCACACAGAGCACCCAGGTGGTGGAACCAGCGAAAGATTCCAATTCCGGCTAGTAACTGCATCTTGCCTTTTTGGTATTTTTGATAGGATTCGGTAGAACTGAATCTAGCCCGTAGGGTTACATTCGCATAACAAACGGCAGTCACTTCCCCATCTCTTATGCAGATAACCCAAGAAAAAGTAAATCATTGTGTGTCCCTACCTTTCACCATGGGTGTTACTGCAGAGAAAAGCAGACAGAGCAAAAGATGGCATCAGTCAGCATGCTTCTGTATGGACCAACTGTGTATTTTCTATGTAACATTCACCACGTGAGGGTTTCGCTGAGAATTTTCCAACTAAGATTAAGTTTAGTAAATTATCCCATTAAGGCAGGGAAACATTAAATTTTCTGATAATTTCTGGAGAAGAAGATGTATTTAAAGTTGGATCCCAGATACAGGTAAAGGCATAATGCAAAGTCAACCTGGAAAACCTACTGTTTATGCCTTCAGGTGAATGGGATCCTGAGAATAACATCATGGTCCCATGAGCTTTTGAATCTAAACTCTAAGGTATAATTTAAATAGGATAAAGGTGGCATTGTTCTTGGAACAAAGGAAAATTGCAAAGTAAAAATTATTAAAACACGGAAAATAAGTAGGAAAGGGAAAAATACTGAACATGGCTCAGGCTTTCTTTGGGTCTGACTTTTCTCTTTCGCTGCTCTGAGCAGCAGAAGCGGGGGTGAGCTACCAGCTCTTTTGGAAACAGCCTTGGGTAAGCTCATCCAACAACATCGGCTTTTTCCACCCACCTAGGCCTTGAGGAGTTCTCTGGTAACCCAAAGCGTCTTAGCATCGGTACCCAGAAGACAGCCCTGTATTGTCACATCTCCTGCCCATTTCACAAAGCCAGCTCTAGCCTCCTGGACTGAATCCCATAGCTTTCCCCCACCTCACTCAGCCTCAGCCCCCACCTCTCATATCCCACACCGTTTCTGGCCCCACCAGTACACCTTAAATAATATTCACTTGCATAACCTTCATCTCTGTGGCAAATGAAAGGGGCATTTCTTTAGCACCTGTAATCAAAGTCTCAAAGAACTCTGTGAAAAATGGCCGGCACCAAGGGCATAAGGTTTATTCAAAATATCTGGCCACTGAAAACGCGGAGGTCTAGGCTTTCCTTTCCAAAGGGAGCCAGTCTGAAGCTGCTGGCTGCGGAATCTGGGAGTCGGGGTGGGGGTTCTGTCAAGCCTGGCAGTGGCCCTGCCCCAGCAGAGAGCCAACATGACCTCCCGGGTGGGTGACGCCATCTCTGGCCCTTGGAAGAACTCCAGTTGGACGAAGTAAACATCGTTCTATTAAATATCCATTTGGATCATTGGATGGCAACAAAGAGGTACCTATGTGAGCAAGAGCAGACTTATTGATCGGAAACACGTGTTCAAATCCTGCTTCCCATCTTAACGTGCTCAGGGTTTGAACTTACCCGAAAGGATCTGAATGAGCACGTCTGGGATGAAGACGTTAATCTTGGCTTCAGTCTTGCATATGTAAAACTGCTCCAGGAATGAATGGGCCTGGCTGTTTGTGTGCCAGGCTCTTCCACTGGGATCAAGACACAAAACACCCTTGTTGGGTGAGGAGAGGAGGCGCCCAGAATGCTAAACTTTCCCAAGAGCGGGGGAGGAGAACCCTCTTGGTGCCAGAATACCTGCAAAATAGGAAAATGGAAAACATTTAACAGCAGTTGACATCTATTCCTTTTAGGTCTGTGACCAAGGCTTCTGGAATAGCCTTTTCCTTCACGTGGAAATTTACGTCTTTGAATTGTCCCTTGGAAGACGACTTCTCTAATTAGCAGAGAATCTGCTGATGGGAACCATTAGCAATATGGAGGCAACACCCGTTACCATGAACATGGAAGAGATTAAAACACAGAATAATGGTAAGCACACACACATAGAAACATATACACACAAACAACTCTTAAAAAAAAATCAGAACTTCAGTGAGACTTAGATGATCCACTTATCCCATCAGGAATCAAGCTTGGCAGGTTGCTAACTGGAACAATTCAAAACAGCTTCTGTCTAATTGAACGTTTATGTTTAAGAACATGTTCAAGCTTCAGTGATTCAGTTTTGTAAAATGCACCCTCAATTAGGTCTCTTTGAGCTTGGCCTCTCCCATGCCACAATCTTAGACAAACCTGGTTTGATTTATGGGGACTCGGAGGAGACCATATTCAGCGTCCGCCAAGTTCTCCCTTCAACTGGAAGTCCCGGAGAATGCCCCGCGGGGTGGCGACCTCACTCCCAGCCCTGGGAGGCATTCTCCGTGGCTGAGGTGGGTGATGGCAGCTTGGCCCGTGGGCCTACATTTTTTTCCTTTTTCACCAGAAAAAGGAGAATCACTTCTTACTGGGATGTAAAATGCCTTCTTCTCTAAAGAAAGTGTCTGTTTTCCTCTCTCCCTCTGTAAAAATTCATTTCTATCTTCTCAGAATTAAGAGGTTTTTTTTTTTAACAGGCTTTCTTTACGTGCAGAGATAGAAAACACAGAGTTTGATATGAAGTAAATAACTGAGAAGGAGGAACACACACAAGTCAGCTTCCTGGGATTCATCTTACTCCACCAGACCTCCTCCCACGGGACTCCTGGGCTCCCTCTGTGAATGCGGATCTCCAGTGGAAAAGGTCTCCTCTTCTGCACTCTGAAAAGCATCCTGCTAACTTAAGAAGTGATGCCCTAGGTAAGTTCCAGCTGGAGTAAGCTTTGGCGCATTTCAGATGATGTCAACTGTGTTTCAACCAAGAGATCAGGAAACAGAAGTAAGAGTGCGATTTCTCCACCCTGACATGGATGGAGATGTCAATGGGTGGAATATGCAACGGATGACAGTTAATTACTCAAAGAGTAATTAAACGGCTTCTGCATCAGCCACACTACTTCTGCATATAGTAAGTCAGAATCAGAGCGTTCTGCTTCCCAGATCTTAACTGGCTGTATCCACAGAAGAGAAAAAGATCTCTTATCTAAGAGAACCGTACCACGCTGTTCTAAGAGACAGTTTCATTTTAGAGAATCAGATCTATGATGGAAGCCCTGCATGAAGGTATCCTATCTGTATTGACATTGTAACCTAAGTCATACCAAATAAAAATAGAGCTTTTGCGGTGACAACAAGGGGAAGTAAGCATGCAGTTCTTTTGCAACATGTGCTACAGAACTAATCATAGACTATCATCTAAACTGGTTACGTGTTGCATTTTTCATCCTGAATAAAAGTAATTTAAACACAAGAAAAAAAGATCTGTATTTAGCTACAATCTTAAACTCATCCCTTCTGTAGTCTACAGCAGGGAGATCTGAGCGATGGACCAAACCCAATCCAGTATTTTCTCTGGAGTCTTTCAGGCTACCAAAAAAATAAGCTTCTTTCTTCTCCCCCAAATAAACAAGTAATCCAGTGCACAGAAGGAAACTGCACTTTACTGCATAATCAACAAAGGCAGTAATGAGCGTCAAACTGAGAAAGAAAACAGAACACCTGAAGGATACAGAGAAAGAAATGAGCCAAGTGGTACATCTGGGTCCAGATGACACAAACAAAGACTCAGAGTTCCCTTCTGTGATGGGATTTGAAGATTCACTAGGAAAGCTCTCTCCAAAAAGCTCCCTGAAGGTATGCCTAAACGGCTTGCTCACATCCCTTCCACAGGGATCGGAGTCTTCCATTCAGGGTCTCTCCGAGGTAGTTCAGCGAACCGTGGAACACACTGATCTCTGGAAGAAGCAATCAGAAAACGTAAAACCCTCCATGCAGAAGTTTAAAGGTTGTTTTGCACATGACACATAAATAGTGGCTCTGGAAGGAGGGGCCCTATCAAGGAAAGTTCTGTATAAAGAACGGGAAAGCTATGCTGGGTCCTGCCAGAGGCAGGCCGCTCAAAAGAGACCTTAGCATTGGCTCAGGGTTGGGTTGGAGTTGGGTTCTTAAGGACGTGTTGGCTAGAAGGAAAAGGGTGTGGAACCAGAGTTCCGAGATCAGAGATGCCAAACCTTCTGACCCTCTTTATGCCCTGTAGACACAGGCTTGGCTACCTTAGGACAGAACCTTGACTTATTTCGTACGACAGAGTACTTTTCTTTCCGTTCAAAAAGACTCACCTGTGTGTTAGACTCAACAATTTTAAAAAGAAGCTTATTTAGCTGGGATCGAGTTGAACTCTTTTATTATACTCATGTAGCATTTATTGGCCCCATGGGTTCAAATGCTTCCAGGTAGCATAATGAAGGGTTTTAAAAACTGGATCTGAACATTCACAGTGAAGTCACTTGGCCTAAATAATTAAATAAGAATGAGTGAAAATGTTTATAAATCAACACGATGGGGTTGTTTTCCCCCTCACAACTAGTATGTTATGTAATGCAGAGTTAAATGCCTTTATCCAAACCATAGAGTGAACATGTCTTTGGCAACACAGATGTCATTTACCAGGAAGCTGCGTGGGGCGGAGGGGAGGAGTCACTCAGTACACCCACATTCACAAGAGAACCCTGAAAGAGCAAGACTAGTTCCGTGAACCAATGATTCCCCCTTTTAAAAATTCTTCTTTATTTCCTGCTCCAACTTTGGAAGAGGCAAAGTGGGAAAAGGAGGCAGAGAGAAGAGTCAAACCCTGGACCCTTCCCTTCTGTGAGTCCCTCCCCCACAGGCTGGGGAAGAAGAGACGCTTAGTACGGGACCCAAGCTTGAAACAGGGTGGGACCTTTTAATATGAGGAAAATGAGACTTCGCTGCAAAAGCAAGTCTTGCTCCTGTGACTGGCAATGTCTGGACAGCATGAGGATATGGTCAAGATGTCTTTGAGGGTTAGGACAAGGTCCTTAAGATGTGACACGCAGAGGCAACGTTGGAGGAAGCGTTTCCCTCTGCGTTCGTTGTTCACTTAGTTCGGAGCTGCACAATTCACTGGATCCACTCTTACCCTAGAAGACCCTCGGGCACATTTCTCCTCTGTGGTATTTCCATCAGGGCAACTTCTCCAGACTCGCTGCTCTCACCTTCTGAGCAGTCAAGCCTCACCCCATCCGCTACAGTGTTAGTGAAGAAACTTTTTATTACTGTTACTGCCCTCCAAGGAGACTTTTCCTAATCAACACCCCATGAAATTCTAATCCCATGAATATCCTTTTATCTATTTATATACTGTATTATTTCATGTTTTATATATAATATAGGATGACTTTTTTTCCCACTCTCCACCCACAAGAACCTTTTATGAGAGTGCCTGCCTTAGCAACTGGCTCCTGCTGCCTTAGGTAGAATAAAGAAGTGAGTCTGCAGTCGCTGGTTTTCCACGCTGCACATGATGGAGCCCCAGGGCTGCACAGAGTAGTCTCTGCCAACACCCAGAGGAGCGCGGGCGAGGCACCAGAGCAGGTGCCATTTTCCCCACCACCCCATGCTGTACTCCGCATGAATACGATATGTGGGCCTTCCAACTCAACCTCATCAGCTCTGCTTTCGTAGGTCTTTGCTTCAGGGTTCCGTGCAATATGCCAGTTTATAAAACTGGTTCAGGGTTTTTTAGAAAAATCGAAAAGTCCTTTGTCTCAATGTACCTGAGTGGTCCCAACACTTTCAGATTCTGGCTCTGTGTTTGATGCAGTCATAATGCATATGTGAATTTCACTCAAAAGGCAAGTATGTACTCAGACTTAAAAACGTCTGTGGAATGATAAATGCTGGAGAGGGTGTGGAGAAAAGGGAACTTTCCTGCATGGTTGGTGGGAACGTAGTTTGGTGCAGCTAGGATGGAAAACAGTATAGACAGTCCTTAAAAAACTGAAAACAGACTCACCCTATGATCCAGCAATCCCATTCCTGGGCATACATCTGAAAGACGCACTCATTTGAAAAGATACCCCAATGTTCACAGCAGCACTATTTACAACAGGCAAGACATGGAAGCAACCTAAATGTGTATCGACAGATGAATGGATAAAAAAGCTGTGGTATATATACACAATGGAATACTACTCAGCCATACAAAAGAATAAAATAACGCCATTTGCGGGAACATGGATGGACCTGAAGATTGTCACACTATGTGAAAGTAAGTCAGAAAGAGATACAAAAATACCACATGATGTCACTTACATGTGGAAGCTAAGAAAAATGACACAAATAAACTTATTACAAAACAGAAACAGACTCACAAACAGACAAAGAACAAACTTAGGGTTACTGGGGGGGAAGGGTGGGTGGAGGTATAAACTGGGAGTTTGGGATTAGCAGATATACACTACTATATACCAAGTAGATAACCAACAAGGTCCTACTGTACAGCACAGGGAACTACATTCAATATCTTGTAATAGCTTATAATGAAAAAGAAATAATGAAAAAAATAATATATATATACACACACACACACACACATAAAATGGAGCCACTATTCTGTACACAAGAAACTAACACACTGTAAACCAACTATACTTCAACTTAAAAAATTAATAAATTTAAGAATGTTTGTGGGACCCCACCAGATAGGCAGAAAGTATTCTCTGTGCAGACGGTTCCGTGTGCTCCCATACCAGTCCCCGGGGCGGTGTGCTGACCAGCTCTGCTCCAACAGCCCACGGATGCGCCCTGCATATAGACGCCTGTCTATAGCTTCACGTATTTCTTAGGAAAAAAAGTAA